GAGCATATAACGTTATGCATAAGCACACACACCCATTTCATATATACTTATGTCATTCTGATATCAGGCTGCATTTTCTTGGCTCACACTTTCTGTAACGATGCCTAATTAAAAAATTCGTAGCACAGAGCTTTCACCAATACACAATCAAAAGCGGAGATATTTACTGCTTTTTAACGCATAACAAAGATTTTGACACCATATAACAGTGTCTATTTCTCAAACCGCCGAGGTAGGTGCACTTATATTTAATACCAACGTATAGGAAATTTAATATTCTACATTTCTGTGTAATTTTATAGCCATAAGCAGATCCAGGACCACGTAAGCGCATTTCTCGCACAACGTTCACTTTTCAAGTCTTATGATTCCCAGATCTTTCATCGCGATGGAATCCAGTTTGACCAGTCCGGATGTGACGTCAAATAAACAAGCAGAGTGTTTTAAATGGCAGCCTATACCGGCTCCTAGCTTTGTCGAACGTTAGCCAGGCCAGGAACCAGCTTAGCTCTGCGAGTGCGTATAAGCTCCGCTCACTGGTGTTTCATCTCTACAAGCTATGTCATTGCATAAGCCCAACGATGTTGAGAGTTCCAGTAGTTGTATACCGGCGGATGCGCAATTTTTTGCAAGCGCCAGTTTGAAATATTTGAAATATTTTTCTTTTTTCACTAATACGCTCATATTTATTTGTATTACGGGGTGCTGAGGTGTTATGTTTTAGTGTATTATTGTATTTTGTATTTTTAAAATTTAGCGAGAATGCGTTACACCGGTCTATATTATATATATTCGATTATTCGCAATTTTGGTCAATGTAATTATTGAAATTATGTAAATATATTTTATATTTCGGTTTCTAAGTAACTATTAAGTCTGAATGATTTACCAATATGAACTGACATACATATATATTTTTTTCATTCTGTAATTTGCACCATTACATAGAAACGTTTTTATTAGTATTTTATTTTTCGAAGTGGTAAAAATGCATAACACTGGACACGTCAGTCATGTTTGTGCCGGTTCGGTCAATGCATTCTATTTGTTAGGATTATTTCAAAGGGTTAGGGCTGAGGGTTTAGGGTTAGGGACCTAATCCAATATAGTAGGTACATTTCCGGTGTAATACGTGAGTACCATTTGTTATCCCCCGCAAGGCATTATGCAGGGGGTATTAAAATGTACTCTGTCCGTGAATGCGTCCATGCGTGCGTCCGTCCCTCTGTGCACATTTGTCTTTTCCGGAGCAGAACTCTAAAACCGTTCAATATTTCTTAACCAAACTTGGCACATAGATAGATCAAGTGGAGTACGGATGCCTTTTGGTAGTTTTGGAATTCTTAATAAAATAGTTTTGGCGTTTCCTTGGCAACAAGTTTTGACTTAGCCTGAAATTGGTGGTAGTACACTTTTCCGGAGCTGAACTCTAATACCGTTCACTATTTCTTTACAAAACTTGGCACATAGATTGGTCTGGTGGTGCCTTTTGGTAGTTTTGGAATTCTGAATAATATATTTTGGGCATTGGTGGTAGGGCTCTTTTCTGGACAAACCCCAGTGTATAAACTTAAGTGAAGCCTTGCGATTCGTGAAATCTGCATGGGCAGATGTTTCCTGTCAGACGATCAAGAACTGTTTTAAGCATGTCGAAATTCTGTCGAGTCAAGAATCCCAGATTGGTGAAACTGATGATTTCGAAGATGATATCGTCCTTGCCGACTTGAAAAAGCTACTTCAACGCCTCCCGTCTGATGATGAAAACATGTCACCTGATGATGTAAGTAAAATGTGTGAGTGAAACAATGTGTAATAAATCCAGTGATTGTCTTTGATGTTTTGTTTTGATTTCTGCACGTATCGATAGTGAGGAAAGATATCAAGGGGAAGTAACTCGGTGCATATACTGTGGTTTCAGCAGTACAAACATTTCACTATCCGAACGTTTTTACTTAAAAAACCAAAGTGTTCATATTAACGAGGTCTGACTGTATTTATTTAACTAATCCCGGCCTTTGTTTCATAAACAATTGTGATCAGTTGTGTTCGACATAAAACAATGTATTTGTTTTGATTTTTGTTTTCTTTGGTGTGTTTACATAATCGATAAATATACAAACCGGAAACATGCCAGTGGATATTTTTCGCACACTCTGCGCATGCGCACAGCGAGTTGAACAGTAATGTGAAACCAATGATTACAGTTGACCTTACCGGCGTTCTGACGACATCGCTTGCTGTCCAGTAATTCTGCGCAGCAACTGATGCGCATAACATCCTGCTGGAGATCTGAAGTATGGAACGTATTAGGGCCACATTATTTTCAAAAATCACTTCATCAATGTAAGGAAGAGTGTTTAAATCCAATTATGAATAATGAAGAAAAAGGTTTAAAAGTCTGAAGAAAACGCCGCCATATAGCTGGAATATTGCTGAGTGCGGCGTAAAACTCACTCACTCACTAAAAAAGACGAATTTTCATAAAACAGTCAATTTATCTGTTAATTGCTTGTAATTTACTTATCTTTAGTGATTGAAAGCCATGTCCCGATTTCAAGCGTAACTGTGGTAGCAGATGATGTTTACCTTCGATACGGAAATACTCTTTTGCAGCTGCGCAGAATTACCGGACACGCGAGAATTACCAGACTCGCTTGTCATGTAAATTCGCGGACATCTATTTTCGCGCACCTATCATTTCCGGGTTCACGAGGTCACTACACATGAAGTCATAATGTCAGAGTTTGTGTTTGTAAACATGAAGTCGTCTTCGTATTCCTGCTGTCACGATTTGGAAATCGCAAGCTTCAAATGAGAGTTTTTTATCAAAAGTTTTATTTTAATGCTTCTGCACTAATGCAAAAACATTGAGAGGAAAATGAGCCCTAAAAATTTTTTCGTTCATGACAGCACCCATCTACCGGTCGTCTGCTTTGGTAACTTACTGGTAACACTAAAAGGCCATGACCCCAGTAGGTGGGTTGTGGCCCGGGAAAAAAAGGTTTGGAAGCCCATTTCAGACACAAACCTTATAACTTTACAACAAATTTTCATGAACAGTTACCGAGTAAAAGCAATCATGACGACTTTGTAAGATGAAATCAAATAGTTTCGTAATTCATTAATTATAACTATGTTGTGTTTATTCAGTAAATGTCTCCAAAGTGATGAAGAATGTTTTTTTAACTTTCGTTCAAGATTACAGAAACTTTTACTGAAAGCGTTTTGTTTATTAAGATCGACAAAGGTAGACAAATTGTGAACATTTCTTGACAGCATTGTGAGACATGAACTTCAATGTTACATCGTTATCAGCTGTTAACGTTAACTATTTGTCCGGATTTTAGCTATCATGAATATTGATGACGTAAGCGCACAACTGACCTTGATACTGTAGTGGGCATGATGGCTTCGTCCTGCTACGATAGCGAAGTATCAAATGCTGAAACTTAAGTTTTTATCAAAATGTTACATAAAAATATTGATTACACGAGGTTAACTTTAAATTTTGTACACTCGCGTAGCCTTGATTCATGGATATAAGGGAAGTGCGTCGAAATTCCTTTTTTAAATGCATGATTTTATTTTGTATACGCACTGATTATTTTATTCATTGATTCATCAAATTGAAAATGCCTAATATTCCACTCGTGAATGGAACGTTTGTATACAGAAGCCATTTGCAATCATCACCCATTAGTGTGGCCACAAAGTTTGAAGTCGCCTTGTTTCGTGGATTACGTAGTCAGTTACCTTATACCACTATGTAAGACTTCCCACTGCAGGGTTACTGCTATTTACCGGGCGCACTTTTTCAGATTAATTAGTGCACCTGGGGCTCGAACGCACGTTGCCCGGATTATTGACTTCGTTAATTAGTGACGTAATTGGCGGACACTGTACCTTGGGAACATGAGCACCATCACAGTTAATGTGTGCTCGTTTAACGGGTCATTTGCACAGAAGTGAGGCGGAAGCACGAGAAATGAAAACAAACCACTGCGTACGTGCAATGGTTTGTTTATATTTCTTGCTCTTCTGCCCCACTGTGCCACACCCCTCCCATTCATTTTTTTTTGCGCCATTATTTCTTAGACTGTACTGACGAGACCCGGATGGATCGAAATGTGTTTCAATTGGATATAATAGGATCATACTGCCCTAAGGTAAAGTTAAACCCTAAATAAGAATCGGAAAGGGACCCTAACCCTCTCCCAACTCTGACCCTAAGGATCGGACAGGGTGTCATACCCTTACCCTAAACCCTAAACCCTGAGGATCGTAAAGGTTCCCTAACCCTAACCCCTAGCCCTAAGGATCGTAAAGGGTGCCTAACCCTAAGGTACGTAAAAGGTGCCTAACCCTAAGGATCGTAAAGGGTGCCTACCCCTAACCCTAACCCTAAGGATTGTGAAGGGTGCCATACCCTAACCCTAAGGAATCGTAAAAGGTTGTTTGACTCTAAAGATGCAAGAGAAGGGAGACGGAGCAATTACGAGACACAATTGCACTGGCGATAATTGCCCCTCAGCGAGCAGCGAGGGCTGCACCCAGTAAAGTGCATTCTAGCCCCCACTGCAGTAAGTATTGACACGAAGGAACGCAGTCAACGAGAAGTGAGAAAGTTTGAGCTAACAGTATCTTTTTTACTTGACATTTTGTAGAAATAAAATTTGGTAATAGTGACATTATTAATCTGGGGCTATTTATCTCCGTGCTGGACAATTAGATTTCGCGTAATGCAGAGATTTGGATTTTTTTTGTCAGCGAGACATGGCATTGTATGTACATCAACAGTACCGCTTCATGACGTCATACGAGACTTAATTTACGAGCTGGCATGATAATTACTGCAATCCACGAATCAAGGTTATCCATGAATTAAGGTTACAGTGCTGTATACACTTTTCACATAATATAAACATTTAAAATATTCATATTAATGACCTTAATTATGTCTTTTATTTATAATATTTATATAATATGTAATTAATTTTTAGATGGAGAACCCACGGCTGATAAGTGAGCACAATCACCCTGCAGACCCAACAGCAGTAGAAGTCGCGAAGTTCCGCATCAAACTCAAGGAACAAGCTTCAACTTCCAATGGTAAACCTGGTCAGATTCTAGCCAACGCATTGCAGTCATATATATTATCATATGGGGCTTTTGTCTGAGATGTCTGGAGCTTTTGTCCGAGGGGCTTCGGTCCTGCGGGTCTTTTGTCAGGCAATCATTATAACCAGGTAGGATAGTTGAGAGGACCTTTGAGGTAGGACCTTTTCTATGCAATCAACAAGCTGAGTGAGCTGATGTCTCCTGTAATATGCCTTGAATGATTGGATAATCCCAGCGCCTAGGGGCTGCAGGTGACTTGTTGGTGTTAGGAAGTGTATTGCCATTTGTGTATATCCCTTCTTAATGTTGATTACACACTTGCTTCATCTTGCATTGCTGAAAGACTGAAAATGGTTCTTCCATTTGTCACTAATAAGGATCAACCTGTTTTTTTGGCTAGCAGATATAGAAGACAATGTATGAATCGTGTTTAGTACCCTCTGTACCCTCTGAACCCTCCTGTACACAGAATCAAATAATAACCCAGGAATGCTACCATGTGCTGTGTTTGTTAAAGCCTTTGACATAAATATTAATGGCAAATTGTCCTTCTTTCAACATTTTTTGGGTTGTATTCATTATCTCCATATACTGTCATACTGTGTGTTGAAATTCTTGCTTGGTTGGTTGCAAAAGAATTAAAAAAAAGGGCTTACAAATAAATGATAGAAAATATGTATTTTTTCCGTATGCTGATGACACTGAATTTATAGCACTCTGTGGAAGAGTTAAATGTAATGATAAGTCTATTTGTTATTACTATGTCATTTATGTTTTGTTGATACATAGGTAAAGATGATCAACCCGCCATAGAGGATGACAGGAAGAAAATGAGTGCCCTAGAGGAGGCTGCAGTCCATTCATCACGTTTTATTCTGTGCGCACAGAAAAAGTTAGCTGAACCAGCACCAGGAGTGAGGCAACCATGTAATAGTCACGGATTAGACGGAGAGAATCCTCAAGTGACTTCATCACGTTTTATTCTGTATGCTCGTAAAAGAGAAGACGGACCAGCACCTGGTGTGAGGCAACCAGGTAATAGTCAGGGATTAGACGGAGAGATTGTTCACGTGACTCCACGAAATTCTCCACGAATTCCCCACGAAATTCTGTCGAGTCAAGAATCCCAGATCGGTGAAACTGATGATTTCGAAGATGATATCGTGCTTGCCGACTTAAAAAAGCTACTTCAACGCCTCCCGTCTGATGATGAAAACATGTCGCCTGATGATGTAAGTAAAATGTGTGAGTGAAACAATGTGTAATAAATCCAGTGATTGTCTTTGATGTTTTGTTTTGATTTTTGCACGTATCGATAGTAAGGAAAGATATCAAGGGGAAGTAACTCGGTGGGTATAGTGTGGTTTCAGCAGTACAAACGTTTCACTATCCGAACGTTTTTATTAAAAAAACCAAAGTGTTCATATTAACGAGGTCTGACTGTATTTATTTAACTAATCCCGGCCTTTGTTTCAAAAACAATTGGGATCAGTTGTATTCGACATAAAACAATGTATTTGTTTTGATTTTTGTTTTCTTTGGTGTGTTTACATAATCGATAAACATACAAACCGGAAACATGCCAGTGGATATTTTTCGCACGCTCTGCGCATGCGCACAGCGAGTTATACAGTAATGTGAAACCAATGATTACAGTTGACCTTACCGGCGTTCTGACGACATCGCTTGCTGTCCAGTAATTCTGCGCAGCAACTGATGCGCATAACATCCTGCTGGAGATCTGAAGTATGGAACGTATTAGGGCCACATTATTTTCAAAAATCACTTCATCAATGTAAGGAAGAGTGTTTAAATCCAATTATGAATAATGAAGAAAATAGCTGGAATATTGCTGAGTGCGAGTCCGGCGTAAAACTCACTCACTCACTAAAAAACCCGAATTTTCATAAAACACTCAATTTATCTGTTAATTGCTTGTAATTTACTTATCTTAAGTGATTGAAAGCCATGTCCCGATTTCAAGCGTAAATGTGGTAGCAGACGATGTTTACCTTCGATACGGAAATACTCTTTTGCATCTGCGCAGAATTACGGGACGCGCGAGAATTACCAGACTCGCTTGTCATGTAAATTCGCGGACATCTATTTTCGCGCACCTATCATTTCCGGGTTCACGAGGTCACTTCACATGAAGTCATGATGTCAGAGTTTGTGTTTGTAAACATGAAGTCGTCTTCGTATTCCTGCTGTCACGATTTGAAAATCACAAGCTTCAAATGAGAGTTTTTTTATCAAAAGTTTTATTTTAATGCTTCTGCACTAATGCAAAAACATTGAGAGGAAAATGAGCCCTAAAAATAGTTTTCGTTCATGACAGCACCCATCTACCGGTCGTCTGCATTGGTAACTTACTGGTAAAGCTAAAAGGCCATGACCCCAGTAGGTGGGTTGTGGCCCGGGAAAAAAAGGTTTGGAAGCCCATTTCAGACACAAACCTTATAACTTTACAACAAATTTTCATGAACAGTTACCGAGTAAAAGCAATCATGACGACTTTGTAAGATGAAATCAAATAGTTTCGTAATTCATTAATTATAACTATGTTGTGTTTATTCAGTAAATGTCTCCAAAGTGATGAAGAATGTTTTTTTAACTTTCGTTCAAGATTACAGAAACTTTTACTGAAAGCGTTTTGTTTATTAAGATCGACAAAGGTAGACAAATTGTGAACATTTCTTGACAGCATTGTGAGACATGAACTTCAATGTTACATCGTTATCAGCTGTTGAAGTTAACTATTCGTCTGGATTTTAGCTATCACGAATATTGATGACGTAGCGCACAACTGACCTTGATACTGTAGTGGGTATGATGGCTTCGTCTCGCTACGGTAGCGAAGTATCAAAGGCTGAAACGTTTTTATCAAAATGTTACATAAAAATATTGATTACACGAGGTTAACTTTAAATTTTCTACACTCGCGTAGCCTTGATTCGTGGATATAAGGGAAGTGCGGCGAAATTCCTTTTTTAAATGCATGATTTTATTTTGTATACGCACTGATTATTTTATTCATTGATTCATCAAATTGAAAATGCCTAATATTCCACTCGTGAATGGAACGTTTATATACAGAAGCCATTTGCAATCATCACCCATTAGTGTGGCCACAAAATTTGACGTCGCCTTGTTTCGTGGATTACGTAGTCAGTTACCTTATACCACTATGTAAGACTTCCCACTGCAGGGGTACTGCTATTTACCGGGCGCACTTTTTCAGATTAATTAGTGCAGCTGGGGCTCGAACGCACGTTGCCGGATTATTGACTTCGTTAATTAGTGACGTAATTGGCGGATGCTGTACCTCGGGAACATGAGCACCATCACAGTTAATGTGTGCTCGTTTAACGGGTCATTTGCACAGAAGTGAGGCGGAAGCACGAGAAATGAAAACAAACCACTGCGTACGCGCAATGGTTTGTTTATATTTCTTGCTCTTCTGCCCCACTGTGCCACACCCCTCCCATTCATTTTTTTTTGCGCCATTATTTCTTAGACTGTACTGACGAGACCCGGATGGATCGAAATGTGTTTCAATTGGATATAATAGGATCATACTGCCCTAAGGTAAAGTTAAACCCTAAATAAGAATCGGAAAGGGTCCCTAACCCTAACCCTCTCCCAACTCTAACCCTAAGGATCGGACAGGGTGTCATACCCTTACCCTAAACCCTAACCCTAAGGATCGGAAAGGGTGCTAACCCTAAACCTGAGGATTGTAAAGGTTCCCTAACCCTAACCCCTAGCCCTAAGGATCGTAAAGGGTGCCTTACCCTAAGGTACGTAAAAGGTGCCTAAACCTAAGGATCGTAAAGGGTGCCTACCCCCTAACCCTAACCCTAAGGATTGTGAAGGGTGCCATACCCTAACCCTAAGGATCGTAAAAGGTTGTTTGACTCTAAAGATGCAAGAGAAGGGAGACGGAGCAATTACGAGACATAATTGCGAGCGCGATAATTGCTCCTCAGCAAGCAGCGAGGGCTGCACCCAGTAAAGTGCATTCTAGCCCCCACTGCAGTAAGTATTGACACGAAGGAACGCAGTCAATGAGAAGTGAGAAAGTTTGAGCTTACAGTATCTTTTTTACTTGACATTTTGTAGAAATAAAATTTGGTAATAGTGACATTATTAATCTGGGGCTATTTATCTCCGTGCTGGACAATTAGATTTCGCGTAATGCAGAGATTTGGATTTTTTTTTTGTCAGCGAGACATGGCATTGTATGTACATCAACAGTACCGCTTCATGACGTCATACGAGACTTAATTTACGAGCTGGCATGATAATTACTGCAATCCACGAATCAAGGTTATCCATGAATTAAGGTTACAGTGCTGTATACACTTTTCACATCATTATAAACATATAAAATATTCATATTAATGACCTTAATTATGTCGTTATTTATAATATTTATATAATATGTAATTAATTTTTAGATGGAGAACCCACGGCTGATAAGTGAGCACAATCACCCTGCAGACCCAACAGCAGTAGAAGTCGCGAAGTTCCGCACCACACTCAAGGAACAAGCTTCAACTTCCAATGGTAAACCTGGTCAGATTCTGGCCAACGCATTGCAGTCATATAAATTATCATATGGGGCTTTTGTCTGAGATGTCTGGAGCTTTTGTCCGAGGGGCTTCGGTCCTGTGGGGCTTTTGTCAGGCAATCATTATAGCCAGTTAGGATAGTGAGAGGACCTTTGAGGTAGGCCCTTTTCTATGCAATCAACAAGCTGAGTGAGCTGATGTCTCCTGTAATATGCATTGAATGAATGGATAATCTCAGCGCCTAGGAGCTGTAGGTGACTTGTTGGTGTTAGGAAGTGTATTGCCATTTGTGTATATCCCTTCTTAATGTTGATTACACACTTGCTTCATCTTGCATTGCTGAAAGACTGAAAATGGTTCTTCCATTTGTCACTAATAATGATCAGCCTGTTTTTTCGGCTAACAGATATAGAAGACAATGTATGAATCGTGTTTAGTACCCTCTGAACCCTCTAAAGCCTCCTGTACACAGAATCAAATAATAACCCAGGAATGCTACCATGTGCTGTGTTTGTTAAAGCCTTTGACATAAATATTAATGGCAAATTGTCCTTCTTTCAACATTTTTTGGGTTGTATTCATTATCTCCATACACTGTCATACTGTATGTTGAAATTCTTGCTTGGTTGGTTGCAAAAGAATAAAAAAAATAGGGCTTACAAATAGATGATATAAAATATGTAATTTTTCCGTATGCTGATGACACTGAATTTATAGCACTCTGTGGAAGAGTTAAATGTAATGATAAGTCTATTTGTTATTACCATGTCATTTATGTTTTGTTGATACATAGGTAAAGATGATCAACCCACCATAGAGGATGACAGGAAGAAAATGAGTGCCCTAGAGGAGGCTGCAGTCCATTCATCACGTTTTATTCTGTGCGCACAGAAAAAGTTAGCTGAACCAGCACCAGGAGTGAGGCAACCATGTAATAGTCACGGATTAGAAGGAGAGAATCCTCAAGTGACTTCATCACGTTTTATTCTGTATGCTCGTAAAAGAGAAGACGGACCAGCACCTGGTGTGAGGCAACCAGGTAATAGTCAGGGATTAGACGGAGAGATTGTTCACGTGACTCCATCAAGTTATATCATGTGTGCACGGAAAAAGTTAGCTGAACCAGCACCAGGAGTGAGTCAAACATGTAATAGTCAGGGATTAGAGGGAGAGAATCCTCAAGTGACTTCATCACGTTTTATTCTGTATGCTCGTAAAAGAGAAGACGGACCAGCACCTGGTGTGAGGCAACCAGGTAATAGTCAGGGATTAGACGGAGAGATTGTTCACGTGACTCCATCAAGTTTTATTCTGTGTGCACGGAAAAAGTTAGCTGAACCAGCACCTGGAGTGAGGCAACCAGATAGTCAGGGATTCAGGAGAGAGACTGTTGACATGACCCCATCAAGTTTTATTTCTACTTCCCATAAACAGTTTGCCAAACCATTAGCTGAAGCAATGGAACTAGATATTACTGCAAAAAGTGGAATAGGAAGTGAGAAGATAGACATAACCCAGAAGTTCGGTGGACTGGCAGATGGAGTGATGACACCACAGGTAATCCCAAGAAGAGACATAAGGAAAGGTTGTATTTCAACTGACCAGAATAGAAATTTCACAGTTACGACTGTATCAAGTTCTATTTCACCTGTTGGGAAAACATTTACAGCCCCAGCAGATGGAGTGGTGCTTTCACCGGAAACTCCAAAAGCTGAATTAAGGAAAGAAATGACTGATATGACTCCATCAATTTTTATATCTCCTGCCACCAAAGAAGCTGCAAAATCAGCACCAAGAGATGATGTAAGAAATGAGAAGGTAGACATGATGCCATCAATCTATATTCTTAATGCCCAGAAAAAGGCTACTGAAACGATAGACCTGTCAGAGACCTCATCCAGAACTGATGAAGAGGAGGATGAGATTCACCTGTCTGTGGGTCACAAAGGAAGAA